GTGTGGCACTGATTCGTGCTGGCAGAGATCTACCTTATGACCATGACCAAGGTCTGCATAGGATAAGCCTGAAGAGACAGAAGAGGGGAAGCATAAAAAGATCTGCAACTTTGATGGCATCATTAAGACATTTGACCAACTGTGCTGAAGACCTCTAGGTACTCTAGTTCTAAGACCCAATATATTTCTTTACTATTAAAGATGGTTTCTTGCACTTTCAATTAATATATGATTTGAAACCATCCTGGATGTGGAAAGGATTTTACAGTGAGAAAGATATCAATAGCTAGAAGATGAAGGGATAAATATATTTCAAATAATACAAAAGGCTTGGCCAAATGTATTTAAAAACCTCTCTCTCTCTCTCTCTCTCTCTCTCTCTCTCTCTCTCTGTGTGTGTGTGTGTGTGTGTGTGTTGGGTAAGATGTGTTTGAAGAAGGTTGTTTTTTTTTATATGGGGCATCTGCAGTAGAACACAGCCTACTCTTATATCTTATTTCTAATTGTAAAAGGCTAGACAAAAAAGAAACTTGTTTCTAATTGAAGAAGGCAAAGAAAAGTGGGACTCAGGATACTGTTGTTTATCCAGTGGCAACATGCACTGAATACCCAGTGTCACATTTGCAGAGAACATTGCCAATGAGTTTTCATCTCCATGATTTAAAAAATAATTGGTTATCATTGAAAACAGCGAAAAGATTTTAAAATTGGAATTTGTAATAAAGCAGCCATTTCCTAAAGCCTGTATCATGTATATACACTGTGTAGATGTACACCGTTAGTATAACTAGGGTATAGCTAAAGGATTTTCCATTTTAAAGCCATAATGATGACTGTTAAAGGAAAGATGAGTGATTAATTATTCTCCAGTTAGAGCTTTCAACTGTCATGTGTTTCCTTAGTTTGGTGATATTTTTAAAAAAATCAAAGCAAATGTAAATGGGAACTCATAACCATATTTGTATTAGATGTATATATTTCTAAATGCTAATTTATGCGTGATTTCTAACTTATTCTAACAAGTCACAAATTCCTGTTTTGAAGATGTCTAAAATCTTACAAAGACCTTAGGATGTGAGCATGTTCAGATATTTTTTAACCAGAAGAAATAGCACATATTGTGCATGAAGAATCTTGGGAATTATTTTTCTGTAGAGGAAATGGTAAGAAGGAAAATGTGGAAATAGGAAATTCAATCTCCAGATGCATAAGCACCTGGATAAAAGAAGGTCCTCAAGGGAGCAGAGATGCCGTAGAGATAGTTCTATAAAGGACAGTGATAAAGTGCAAGACTTCTGGGTCTTCTTCATCTGGACATTAGTTTGTACCTTCCAATATGAGTCTGAAAGCCACAGGATTGTAAAGACTAGATTAAGAAGGTTTGCTCAGGTCCTCTCTACTGGTTTACTTCTTGCTTCACTGTGTATCTTCACTGGAATTCAGCCCAAAAATGCTCTCAGAATCAAACCGTGTGCAGAAGTGGGCTGGGGACAGATATTTCAGCCAGTAAAATACTTGCTTTGAAACCACAAGAACCTGAGGTTGATTCCCAGAGTTCACGAAATCAGTGTTGAAGAGGGTGGCCTGAGCTTGTAATCCCAGTGGCTGAAGAGGCAGAGACAAGTAGATCCCTGAGCTTGCTGATCAGTCAGCATAGCCGGCCAGACAAGTTCAGGTCAATGAGAGTCCTTGTCCCCAAATAAAGGCAAGTGGTACCTGAGAAATGACACCCAAGTTTGTCATCAGCCCTCCACATTACATGTGTGTACCTGCACATACGTGAACATACACACATGCATGTGGTCGCACACATGTAACAAGAATACAAACCGTGTGTGGACATAGTCCTGGAAAATGTTGGCTCCTTTTATTTTAGGCCATCTACTATTGCTTGCATATTTGTATTTTCCAGGACTCAGGTAAATGTTAAATTGCTGTTGCAAGGGTCATAGAGACCAAGAGTCATTAAGAGGCGATTAGGCCATTGTTGCACTACAATCACTGGTGAGATCAGAGATGTTATCCAATGGGGTTTGACCCACCTCCTACTGTTCTACTTGTTCTCACTCTTTGATACTGAATTCCCCGGCCTCTAGTACAGTGATCCAATAATACTCTATTCATTATAAATTATCCGTTCTCCAGTATTCTATCATAACCACAAAAGTGGACCAAGAAATCATCTTTGAAATTCATATGGAAATTAGGAACATGACTAAATAACAAAGTGAAACCAGGTTTCAGTCACTTCTCACCCAGTCTGTGCTGTACATATTTACTCGAGTACTTTGTGTCTTTGTTTATTCACTTAGGTCATTGTAGCTCCAAGTCAAATTAAAAGGATGACCGGTATCAAATCGCAGCTCATGCTCATTGGTGAATAATGTTTGACTTTTTTTTCTTGGGATTTTAGAACAGCTGTGAAACCAATAATATTTCTGCACAAACAAAAATGAAGGCGAAACAAATGCAATCCAAGTACTTTGAGTCATAAGGAAAATGTGTATCCAACAATTATAAAAATAGATTAAACTGATATTTGTGTTTGTGTGTATGTATGCATGTGTACATCTGTGTGATAGGATGGAGAGAGAGAGAGAGAGAGAGAGAGAGAGAGAGAGAGAGAGAGAGAGAAACACAGTAGCTATCTTCACACATAACACATTCTAAGAGTTTTATTTTTATTCCTTCAGGGAAAAATTATATCCCTTCAGATTTCATATTGAATGCATTTTTTTAAAAAGCTAAAAGAAAAGGTTATTAAGGAGCTTGCTTACTTAATCAAAATCTATTAACATTCTAAAAAATGTTAAGTTGTGATGAAATCAGATTTATTTTTATACTTATTAATAATTCTCCTGCTGACACAAGATTAGTTGGCAGCATTCAAATCCATGAATTACTTTTTGCATTGTAAATTATTATTTTGGTATATTTAGAACAAAGAGGAAAAAGCTGTTCAATTGTACCTGATTTAGGAAAAATTAATGACATATAAATGAAGTTCAATTTTAGTTTTTAAACAATCCTACCTGAAGACCCAGTTATACCACCCCTGGACATATACCCAAAGGATGCTTAATCCTACCACAAGGACTCTTGCTCAACTATGTTCATTGCAGCTTTATTCATAGAGCCAGAAAATGGAAACAACCTAGATGTCCCCCAACAGAAGAATGGATAAAGAAAATGTGGAACATTTACACAGTGGAGTACTACTCAGCTGTTTAAAGAAAATGACATCATAAAATTTGCAGGGAAATGGATGAAACTAGGGAAAAAAATCATCTTGAGTGAGGTAACCCAGACCCAGAAAGACAAACATAGTATGTATTCACTTATAAATGTATACTACATACAATCCACAGACCCAGAAAGGTTAGGTAAAGGGGAGGGGGCCTCTAATGGGGAAGCGTGGATCTCCCTGGGAAGGGGGAATAGAGTAGATTTTGCGGGTAGACTGGGGACAAGTGGGGATGAGAACAGGAGGCATCAGGTGTGTAAGGAAGATGGAAGGAGAGAGGGCAGGGAGAGACAGCTGGGGGACACTTGAGAGTGATGTGAAAACCTAGTGCAGTAGAAACTTCCTGGATTCTATGAGAGGGACCTTAGTGATGACTTCAAGTGATGGATGATACAGCCTGAACTGGCCATTTACAGCCAGGCAAGGCTTCCAGCGGTGGGACTGGGTTACATTTGGTTGAATTTTTGGCCGAGGAGGTCCCATGGAGATCCCTAACAACCCAGGTTGATGTTAAGACAGAAGGCTGCTCTCTGAAAATTCGCATTTGACCCATGGCCAAAGACAACATCCACACAGATCATTGAATGTAGCGAGGTCGAGCTGATGCCTGCTTGGAGGCTTCAGCCCACATTCTAGTCTCTTTGGCAGGAGAAGGTACTCTGCAGGCTATGGAAAGTGAAACCTGGACACTAACCCAACCACAAAACCCTCCATCTACAACCTGTCCTGCCTACAAGATAATCTGGGACAATAATGGCACAGAACTTGTGGGAGTGGCCAAGCAATGTCTGGTTTAACTTGGGGACCATAACAAGAGAGGGAACCCATGACCCTGCAGAGCTAGAAACTGGAGACTAGATAGCCCAGAAACCTATAGTAGAACCAAACATGACTGGCAAAAAAAATAAATAAATAAGTAGAATTTAAAAAAAAGAATGAACTGATTTCTAGTATTATGCTCTACTTCTAGATCAGTGCCTTGTCCAGTTGTCATCAGACAGGCTTCCTCCTGCAGCAAATGGGAATGGGTGCAGAGTCCAACAACCAGACGTGATACAGAGAGTCTAAAATTGGAAGTATCCATTAGGTTCCTCCCCTTGGAGATAAGAAATCCCCTCAGAAGAGGGGGAGGCTAGACTGTAGGAGTCAGAGGGGTCAAGGACACCAGTTGAAAAGGGCCCACTCTATCAATGAAGCAGAGCTGACATGGGCTCATGGAGACTGAAGCGTCAAGCACAGGGCCTGCATTGGATCTGCAAGAGGTCCTCTGCACGTATGTTATGGCTGTTTGCTTGGTGTTTATGTGGGACTCCGACAGTGGGGGGGGGGGGGTGTGTCTCTGACTCTTTTGCCTGTTCTTGAGACCCTTTCTCTTCTACTGGATTGTCCTGTCCAGCCTTGATACGAGGACGTTTGCCTTGTCTTATTGTATCTTGTTTTGTCCTGTTTGACTGCCATCTCTGGGGAGGGGGGGCGGTCCTGCTCTGTTCTGAAGGGGAAATCAGAGGGGGTGTGGATCTGGGGGAGAGGGAAGTCGTAGTGGGGAGTTCGGAGGAGTGGAGGGAGTGGAAACTGCGGTTGGGATGTATTGTATGACAGAAGAATCTATTTTTAACTAAAATATATTAAATTAAATTAAATATAAAAAGAAAAAAAAAACAAAAGAAAAACCCATCATGGAGTATACCAATTTCCAATCAATTCAACTCAAAGTGGGCTGGATCTGGAAAGTTGAGAGGAGAGGAACCATCATTACCTGGACACTGGTCAGAGTCGTGTACTGGTAAGCCTTGACCACCAGGTAATTCGCTTCCAAGTCTATGAGTCCCAGGATCATGTACTTCCACCATCTTCGGCGTAAAATCGCCAAGAGGTTTTCTTCTCCTGTGTTACAAAGTTAAGAAGAGAAATGGCTTAGGTTCTTGACATATAACACATTACATATTTAGAATTCTAACATATTGTTGCATTATGCACCTATATATGAATTTTTTTTACCAGAAACTTACTCAATATTTTAGTGGCTTAATCTATCAAAGACTCACATGCTTTACTTGGGAAATTGTCTTCATGGTCACTTTTAGGTCTCCAAATTAGTTTCCACACCAGGGTGGGACTGAGTAGGTCATTGCTTACTATGGAATATATTTTTACTAATGTGTGAAAGAATAATTGTGTCACGATGGAAGTGAAAGGAAAATGGTACAAGAAAGGGTGCATCACACACACACACACACACACACACACACACACACACACACACACACACACAAACCCTCAGGCCATCCTAAATTTCAAGACCAAAAGAAAAGTAGCCTGTTGGAAGCAGTTGTGTGTGTTGTAGTAGGTCTGTCGTAAGACTCCAAGATGGTATTCAAAAGATTTTTTTGTTTGAATATTCATGTTTAATCTAGAGATATGGGAATGATGTGAACAGAGAAAGCTTTAGGATGGAAAAAACCACACCACCTGACCCTTGTCTCAATGCTATCAACAATTAATTTTATCACCTTGTTTTACGTCCATAGCACTTTAGATATCCTCATTCTTATTTTCATATGTATTTCAAGCTGAAATAAATCTTATTTCTAAAAGTGGCCCAATGATAATTCCATACAGCTCTGTGTGGCCAGCTTGTGAAGTCTTCACAGACTATATTGAATATACAGACACTCTGAGTGAATAGTGACTTACTACTGCATAACAAATTATTCTAATACATAGATATTCGAAACAAGAAATGTTTATTGTGTTCTGGTTTCAAGGGGGTCAAGAATCTGGGTGCAGCTCAACTGAATGCTTATGATTCAAGACTTCAGTAAGTTCCAGGCCAACTGCCAGCCAGGGCTTCACTTCATCTGAAGGATTTATGAGTAGGGGTCTTTTGGCTGTTGGATGCCCTCAGGCCTTCAACTCAGAGGACTGGATATGGAACCAGTCCAAAAGAGAGACGTGTGTCACAATCAACAAAGCTAAAAGGAGTTGGAGATCTGAAGAGCGCTTTGACATGGAACATAGAAACAGACAGTTTGAAGTTTGGCCTGCTGGGTTTTGGTCTTGCTTTGACTTAGTATTTCTTCACTAGGCCCCTTTCCTCCATTTTTGGAATGTTAATATACATCCTATGCCATGGTATGTTGGAAGTATGTAATTGGTTTTTTATTTTATGGGGGTTACAGTTAAGAAATTGCCTTGAGTATTGGAAGAGACATTGGACTTTGAAATTCTTAAGTCTTAAAGACTATGGGGACTTTTGAAGCTGAACTAAATGCATTTTGCATTATGATATAACTGTAGACCTATGGGGGGTAGGGATGGAATGTGGTGGTTTTAATGAGATGGGCTCCCATAGGCTCATATGTTTGCTCACAGCTATGAGGGAAGGATTAGGATGTGTTGTTGGGGGAGATCTGTCACACACACTCACACATCAGGCCCCATGCCTCTCTTCCTCTCTGCCTATTGCCTGGATTGGGATGTAAAGCTCTCAGACACTGCTCCAGAACCATGCTGCCTGCATGCTGCCATACTCCTTGCCATAATAAAAATGGACTAAATCTCTGTTATAATTATTCTTGGTTGTCAATTTGACTACGTCTGGAATTAACAAAAACCCAAATGTCTGGGCACACCTGTAAGGGATTTTTTTTTTCATTAATTTAATCATTTGAAGTGAAAAGACCTACTTCTAATCTGGATCTTTGATGTGGGAAGATAAACCTCTAATCCAGATCTTTTGAGATAGGAAGATCCACCTTAAATCTGGACCAAACCTTCTGCCACCAGCCTATATAAAGGAAAGAAGGAAGCTTGCTCTCTTGCCTGCTTGCTCTCATCCTCGCTGACAAGCCCAGTTCTAAAGGCACAGGTCATTGGAACTGGCATTACAGCTACTTCTTCATGATTCCAGCATATACTGAAGACCTGCTAAGACATCAGCCTTGTGGACTGGAAAACTACTGGATTCTGAGAACTTCCATTCAAAGGCAGCCAGTGTTAGATTAGCTAGACTACAGACTATAACTCATTCTAATAAATTCCGTTTCTATGTATTTAGAAATTCATTGTATAAGTTCTGTTATTCTAGAGAATCCTGATTAACACACCCTCTGAAACTATAAGCAAGCCTCCAATTAATACTTTCTTTTATAAGAGTTGCCTTGGTCATGGTATCTCTTCAAAGCAATAGAAATCCCAAGTAAGTACTGATCCTCCAGTGTCCAAAATGAAGCACCAGCATACACTTCTAACAGGAAGGCAGATACTCTTACTTCTGCTCATTGGGTTGGGACTTCATGTGATATGTCTGTTAATAACTGCTCCAGTCACATACAGAACTTATCTTTCTTATCTCTATTACTCATTAGGTATTCACAATTTGAACAAATTGTCATTATCTTGGTCTTTATCTCCAGGATCCAAAGTCTATGACAAATAGTAAATAATATATGAATAAATTTTACATTTAGTAATCTCAGAAAGAGATTTTACAACACTGAAATTGAGATAGTTAAAATACATCTACTACAGACATTCTTACTCCTACCACTGAAATAGTTTTCTAGTTAAAACTATGTCACTGACAAAACTAATTTGTTGAGTATTTGACACATAATACACTGGATAGAAGCCATAAAATTGTTAATGGTATATTTAACCTCAAAGTGGCAATTCTAAAGTCACAGGTCATTGTCCCTGCTATTTTACATGATGAACAATTGCCAAATCCAGAGCGTACAAGCTACATCTCAATACACATTACTGGAAAACTAGATTATAGCGATGTTACTTGTCCCACTAACCAAGAACATACCCAAAGTCATTTATTATATGGGTTCGGATGAAGGATGGGTTGCCTTGCTGGTCTGCTGATAACAACTTCAAGTAAATACACACCATGTGAATTCTTCCACAGTGTTTCATCTGATGACTCTGCAAACACTCAACAGACTTGACTAGCAGAATTATCTAGGATGGAGGGAGATTGCTTTATTTTAAAAGGGGCACCTGACTCACACTGCTGTACATTAGACGATTAAAACTTTAAAATAATGACAATATATTCTCGGAATCCCTGTGCTAAAGGACCCTCCAAATCTCATGAAAGAGGGTCATCCCTGGGAACATAATACCCTTGTAATTGATGAACATGAATGCTTTGAAATCGCCTCTAGATTTTATTTTTATTAACTGTAAAGGGAAATAAAACTTATGAGCAAAAAATAGAATATTTGGAATTGCAGTTTGGTATTTAAATATATTCTATTTGTTAATGTTTTGCTATCTGTATGGTTAAATACAAATAAAAACATTGGATAAGAAAGTATTAATGTACTCTCCTTCTTGATTCAACAAATTCTAATGTTTTGTGATGCTTATCTCAGATCTTTTTTGAGGAAGTTTTGTAGATGAAATTTAAGTCCACTCTCTGCCCCTGCCAGGTTCTATTTCAGAGCAGTGATTGTATGAGACTTTCCTGAAAATTTCCGAGATTTGGGATGTTTTAAGAAGGTTCCTCATACCAAACTTTAAAACTGGTGTCAGACAGGAGGGTAGTTTTTGATTAGCTTAAATTTAGGAAGTTAGCCTAAGAAGGGATAGCACATGAGGAGATAGTGTTGCGGCTGTGTTCCTAAGCCTTTTCAGTAGTTTGTCTTCCAACACAATGAAATTATTATCCACTCTTATGCAAAATCTTGAATGCATATGAGATGCATCCCAATATAACAAGGTCTCCAAAGCCCCTAGACTTAGTATATTAAAAGTAAAATCACACACACACACACACACACACACACACACACACACACGCATGCACCTCCTTGTGAAACAATGAGAAAGTTTTTTTCTCTCTAGACAAAATGTCACAATTCTGCGGTTTACCCCTCAAGTTGCTATCATCACGAAGATACCACTTATAATCCGAAATACTGCTCACTAGCTAACAGCTCTAATGGTAGGTTTGCTGGGGGACGAGTGGGTGGTAGATGCTTTGATTTGAAATTTGAAATTATCCAGAGCAATCATAATGAAAGTCTGTATTAATATAAATCTCTCAATTTTCCTGGGGTGAGCATGCTGAGAGGAAAATGTGTTTGTCCTTTTTAATGGCAAGACGATTTCCCTTTTCTTCATCCCATTTTGTGAAAAGTGCCCCTATTTGCCTTCTGGAACTATCCTGTAATTGGCTCTGATGCCTCCCGACATTAGGCAGATGAATCTGTCAGTTTCGTGAATTTTACTTTGAACAAGGAGCTATGTCGCCGCTAATGACACACGATACCGGAGGAAGAGGCCAAAGCAGGCTCGCCTCTGGACGTCTGCCACTTGCTGAGTGTATTCAAAAGACCCCATGACAGAAGGTGCCAGCCTGAACTCTTGAGGGCTGACCTTGAGCTCCAACATAAGAGCAGCTGTCATGGTGGACACATAGGTTAGCCCTGACATGGGAAATTAACAGGAGAAAGTGTCAACGGGCCAGATGCCTGGTAACGCAGGGAGCCGGCTGGCATGCCTCCACTTCCCAGCCTATCTCCCATCTCAAATGCCGAGTGGATACCCACCAAGGCTACTCTTCTGTTAATGTCATTTGTTTTCCACTGAATCCAACTGTCAGGTACTCTGCACCACGCATCCTGTCCCTTATTTGCCTGACACTTTAAAGTCTAGGTTAAAAGCATAGAGTCAGAGACCTCTGTGAAAACACCGACTGCCACTTACCAGGCGGTGTCACCTTGGAAAACGGTGCTTATTTACAAAATGAAGCAAATATCACTTACTTGAAAATGTTTCCATAAGGATTAAGTGGGGGGAAATGCCTATAGAGTATCTAACTTCAAGTAAATACTGGGTAGGTGATGGCTTTGTTATTAACAGCGCTGTGA